CGGAAGGGGAATCCGTCGATTGGGCCGCCGTTTGCAGGTGGTCCGAGATATCCCAACCGGACCCTTTGCTGGTGTTTCCTTAGGTGCCGGTTCCACCTGCTTATTAAGGACAAGATTTTTTTATTAGCTCGTGAGGAACGGCACCTATTGCCTCGTCTCCTCAAGCTTTGAAATTCACTTGCCAGGGGTAGCGGTGCAATACCGTCACGCCTAGCAAGGGTATCGTGAAAAGGGGATATTTTCCTGATGAAGCAGCGCTGTGCTACCACGTCCATACCGGCTGTCGAAATCTTGGATCCGCCTACGACGAGCCATAATTCGAGAATGGATGGATGCGTTTTTAGGAGGACCCATACATCGAATCTTACATATCAAATTTCTTTTCACCAGAATTATGAATTTATAAAATTTATTATTATAAATTATTTTTAATTGTACACCATTTTTACTTTTAAAATATTAATTATTTTTAACAATAAAATTATTGTTTTCCCATTCATTCATTCATTCATTCATGCTTTTTCAATTAAAAAAATGTACTCTCACGATGTAGCGTGTCGATCTCTTCCAACCTCCTTCTCCTCGTCCTCCTCCTCCTCTTCCAGCAATGTTGCCCTAAACCGCTGTCGGAGGTCTAGACATTCCTCCTCCAACCGATATCAAAAGGCCGTGCGTCGCTCGCGATTGAAACTGCGGTTGGTCCAAACGGAATCGACCCTTGCGAGGATTATCAGCCATTTTGGAAACTTAAACAGAAAGAAGATTTTCTTTGCGGAGAACTTCATGACTATTACGGTAGCTGATGCGGTACACCTTGCAGCTTACCGGCGACTCCAACACCGCATCCTTTGCAAAGTTTTCCAAACTTCTTACTTGACCCGGTTCTTGGAGATAACGAAGCGTGCGGAAAAACAATTGGCTCGAGTTGTTACCACGGGCAACAGTAATTTCCCGTGATAGCGGATACTTCCGGGGATTCCGCTTCCTCACCTGGACCAGATCCTCCGTGAACATGTAATCTAAGCCCCGAAACGGTAAGAACCCATAATAAAGTTATCAGCTTCCGTAGGATGGCATTTCTGGTTAAACATACAATGATTTGTAGAAAATGTGTCAGATGCCTCAACATCTCTCGATGATACTTTCGGCAGTGATTTCCTCGCTCTGGATGCCTTTACTTTTATGAGTACCAGTTTTTTTTTTTTATTCAGGGTACCTACTTTTGCGTAATTTAAAAACGTTTCACACGCGCACACACACAGTCTATATTACAGTCGATATTATATCTTCATGGTTCTGGAGAAAAACATTGCGGACACGTTCCTGAAGAAAACGCAGTTGGAACGCTTTCGTTACAATTCCAACAATATTTCCATACCGAGGAGTCATGAACCCCCACCACTCGATGGGCCAACACGAACTTCCACACTTCCATATTATGCCTCAATTCTACCGTACATGACACGCAGTACTGTCCCACCTGGTAGAAGTAATAGTCCGTACAACAGGCGCTTACCGTACACACGTACGGTGGAAATACAAAATTTAAAGTGATTTCGTCTTCCTACACCACGTAATCGTTCTGTCCGATTGACGCGACTTCTTCGTTCGTGCTTTCGAACCCGCTAACGGTCTCCGCTGTCCGGGTCGTACATTTTGACTGTGACACGCTCTCCGTGCAACAGCCTTCTCGTATTTATACCGCCTAAGTATGTCCTCCCACTCATTTACGTCGTGTAAGGAGAACATCCCCCAGGCTCCTTCTTTCTTTTTTGTAATCGGGCCGGACGGAAATGAAACGAAAAATGGAATACTGCAAAAGAAGATTACATGATCGCAGACACCCTCACACATTTAATTAATTAATTCTTTTTTCATTATTTCCTTTTTAGCAGTTGTACACATTTCCTCCATACACAGAGCTACTATCTCACAATCTATCTGTGAACCGACATTTGGCTTTCGCCAAAAATTGTTGACGCTTCTTCGATTGTACACTCCCCCGATTTCATGAAGACTAATTTGCTTATGCATCGATTGAATATATATGTTACGTATGAAATATTGTCCATTAACCAACTATTCATACTGTGACGGAATCATTCAACCTGAGCATGTATGAAAACGTTTCCCACGTCATGCATTGATAAGAATATTCTCCTTCGATTCTTACTAACTTCACAGCATTTTTATATGCCTCGCTGACCGAAATGGCGATCGTATCGGCCACTCGGATGGATCGTTGAGGGCCAGGGGGTTGCTTGTACAATTCCAGAATTGTGTCTCCGTTGGCAACGATTTCCTTCCACGTATCGAAGAAAAATACGATTTCGTCGCTGTCCCACAAAAGAGCCATGATCACCTCAGGCTTCGGCACTAGATTGACGCATATTTCCAGAGCCTTCGTCGAACAATTGGTAAGACGGTACTTTTTGCCCAATATCTTCTCCGTGCGCGATCGTCTGGGAGAAACGATTACAATTATATTTTAATCGTTACGCTTAGAACATTTCAGACAACACATTTAATTTTTTGTTATCTCACTTTGGTGCATTCGTCTTGCTCGGTGGTGGCACGGTGAACAGCCTCCTCTTCACCGATAAATTCATTTGACGATCCATTCCGTGTGCCGCTGCGTTCGCTTTCCAAGTTACTGGTATAGTCGCGGTATTAAACCACGCATTTTATACTCCCTATTTAATCCCCCACTATTTTCTGAAGGTTCTGCCTTCATTTGTGTTTACGACGCCTCTGATGGAATCCCTAGGGTAATGCAACCCAGTACTTGTTATCGATTTTGGCCAACCACTCATTAATTTCAAAGTGGGGTACTCGAGCATATAAATTTTATCATTTATGAAAAGAACGATCTCGGCGCTCGGTCGCTGGTATACCAGCGAAATTCTAGTAAGATCTTTTGGTAGAAAAGGCAACCATTGCGTAATTAATAGAGGTGGACCGTATTACTTATTGGATACGCTCATTGCTCACACCCATTTCTTGTATACAACGTACAGACGACGTTTAGCTATCAACATGGCATCAACACTTTTTAATTAACATATGTCAATAGCTGGGATATTTCCACGTTTTCTCTCTGGAACATTCGGTAAAGGTATTGGGGGGGGGGTCATTGTTATTATCGCATTATGAATAGTTGCCCGCGGCATAGCCCAGTCGACAAATGCACCGTACTATCAGTACTTGCAATCTTCGATGTTGTATTCAATTCTTCCCCTACGGGTTTCTTTTCTCCGTGTAAATTCTGAATGTTCAAAATATCGTCAACGTGTAACTCAATGGTTTTGTTCCCGCGGTGTACATAATATGCATACATAATTGCCTTCAATTCATCGGAATGTCGTAATCCCAGAGTGTGTACGATATCGTGCAACAATGTCCAAAATAAACTGACCGACCCAACCGAAACGGGACTTACGTTCTTAGAGTACCACTTTTCATCCGAGTCGATGCGAACTTCCGACAAGTTCAAAATGTTATTAGGATAATTAACGTGTGCAGGCGTGACTCCCTGTCCGTCAAAGGGACTCAGGCATTCCTCTCTCATTTTCTTCTTGGATAAGTATCTATGGCGCAATTGCTCATACGAGATGAGAATGTTTGGATTCGTTGAATTATGTACGAACTGAATGTTCGCGTACTTACCCCCAGCTCTAAATGCTTCTCGGGCAAGTTCCATCTCGTTAAGCTTAGCGAGATAGAAGTGCCATGAAATACCGGACCTTTGCCACTTCAACAATCTCGCGTTCGCGTCCGCGTCAGAGATAATATCGAGTAAATCGCGTCAAGGACTGTTCATTTAAGTGATCGTCTCCTCGTTGAGAGTCCCGTCTATTGATAATTTATTGTATTCTTAAAATAATGTGATTGCCGATCTCAATGTGGCGGTATCTTGGTCTACCAGAGACGTATCTCCTCCTCCTCCTACTCCATTGAAGTATCCGTATTTCTTCAAATAATTTCTCGCTTCTTCCAGCGATTCGGACGTATATGCGGGATGCCCGTGCCAGAGTATGGCACAGAAAATTATCAATAATAACGACATTCTTCTTCGCCCCCCTCGCAGCAGGGAAGATGCCCCACGCGCTCCTTATCATTCGGATCGTCGCCTCGCGTAATTGCAAAGTAACTACGCGATGTCATTAATGTTCTCACATTATAATCGCCTTCTCTTAGATTGCTGGTGCAACGTCCGGTTGGGGACGCTGGAACTTACAGGAAACTGATAATCTAGTTACTGCAATGATCTATGACACCGCAAGCCGCGTTCCGTTTGAAACTTTATCGTCTTTATCGCCTTCACGTGCCACCCTGGGGAAATACATCTTTGTGAAACTAGAGCCGCCGACGCCGAAACGTTGCGAGATGCCGATAACCCACTCATTCGAAAAGATGAATCAAATCGCAATTTTTTTGCTCCGAGTGACACCGGCAGCTTCCGATTGCCGCGGTACGTTTGAAATTTTATCGTCTTTATCGCCTCCACACACCGCTCTGCGGAAATACATCTTTGTCCTACTAGAGCCGCCGCCGCCGAAACGTTGCGAGGAGCCGATAACCCACTCATTCGAAAAATCAAGCAAACCGCAATCATTTTGCTCCCGATGACTCCCCCACCATATTATTCTATGCAGAAACATAGAGACGGTGAATAATTGTCCTCCTCCTCCTCCGGATGCGCTCATCCACCTACTTCCTCGAGGGCGGGAGGGGGAGGGGGCACAAAAAAATACACGCCTTCGCAATGAGCGGATAGTAGTTACCGACTCGGAAATCTACTTTACCGACCGAGTAGTGAGGACATCCGCCTTTGTAGCGGAGACATCCACCTTTATTGACCCGTTAGCAAAGACATCCATCTTTTACCGTGAAGAAATCTACTTTGCCGACGGACTTCCGGGGGGGGCGCAGTTTCCCAGCGAGTGGGGTGAAGGAGGGGGGTTTCGGCCTGAGAGGAGTGGTGGGGGGAGCCAGAACTCTCAATTATCTATCTTCTTTCCCACTTTAAACTTTGATCGATTAAGCGTAGATTTAGTCTTCAAATTGTTGAACACCCGTTGCGGTAATATCTTCTTATTCTTAGCAGTAACATCTGCGGGCCTCATACCAATGGTTCGGTGTCTACTGTTATTGTAAGAGGATACCAAGCCTGATAAAAGATTCAACCACCGATCATGGCCCCATAGGCTGAACTTCATCCACATTTTACTTTTCAGAATCCGGTTGAATCGCTCGCAGATCGATGCCTTCAAGTTGCTAAATGTTGAGCACAGCGTAATACCATGTTTCTGCATCAGATTCTGGAATTCGAAATTGTAAAATTCCGGAATTCTATCAACGTGTAATTTTTTAGGGGTCCGACTCTGTACCAGTGTATATTTCATAGCTACCGTCAGATCTTCAGCGTTCTTACTCCTCTTCGCCACGGCCCAAGCAAATTTAGAAAATATGTCGATAACGGTGAGCAGATACTTGTAGCCACGGTTCTCTCTCGCATAGGCTGACATGTCAACGAGATCGGCTTGCCAGATCTATCAGATCAAACCGAAGTCTAACCATTGTCGCGATTTCTATGCCTTGCTCCGGTTAACAGGATAGAACAAGATTTCATTAACTTCCTTCGAACAGCTCAGCTCGAAATCTCGGCATCGTGAGATAGATTAGAATCACGCGTAATCCGCCAGTCTAACAGCAAACAATCCCCGTGTCAGCACTCCGGTGTTCAGTAACCTACAGCCGCTAAAGTGCGCTATCGCGACACCCGAACCGCCGCGACGCGGAAGTTTAGTAACCCAGAGAAAAATAGGTCAAGGCACCACGGGTGCCCCTCCCAGCTGATTATAAACTAAACCTCACTGACGAATGAATACAATAATCATAGCACACTAGCCCACATTGCCATTCATTCAGACCCTCTTGCAGTCCTCACTTCCATAGATCCCACCAGAGGAGTTGATCTAGCCGCTCGGGTCAATCTCCTCGCAAGATTAATATATTCGTCACGCGCAAAATTCAGATAATCCCTACCCGAAATTCCCCGGCCTCGCGTCCGCTCGGCCGCCACGTAACAACCCACGATCGAGGATTTATCGATCTATTTTGCAATAATGTTTTGAAATTTAGAAATTTTGCTCTCGCAAATGGCACCATGCGGAGTATAGTATTATCTGCACGCATTCGTTGCTACGAAAATTTTTCGATAATTATCTAAGTCATCGTGGGTGATGTCAATCTCGTCGCATACTTTTTAATTAAAAGTTCCATCAATCCGACTGTTCTTAAATAACTCGTATCACCGACATGAATTCGGTCATCCTGAAAGTTTAGAAACGAATCGTCAATCATTAGCCTATTCTTAAAGAGTTTACATACACCATAGACCGTATCCACAATTTTCTCTTCATTGAATCGTAGCATATCGAGATACCGTTGCACCAAATCGTAATTCTCACCCCCTCCTTCAGCATTCTCTTTTTCTTCGGTGAAATCACTTTTGTCGACTCGAAGGATTCATCCACTGCATCAACATCATCATCGTCATCTTTTGGTGATTCGAAGGATTCATCGACTCTATCACTTCATTTTACCTGTCGTTTTATCTCATCCGTAATAAGATTACGCTCTGTTTTATTTACTAATTTCTTAAGTGGCGACACTACCGGATTAAAAACATCACTCGTCGCTTGTTCGATACTCTACCCGATTTTATCATTCGATGCTTTCTGCGAATCGCGTCGCTAGCTCTCGCGGTTTGACACAGGATATTTGTTTGCTCCTGAAATTTTCCACGTTGCATGTTGTTATCGGTAAATCCGAAACTCTACTGTGTCAATTTCTTCGATGATCATCCACTTATTCGCACGAAACAGTCGAATCCTTTTCGGTATCTACCTTCGTCGACCTCGCTCTCCTTATCGATAACGAGAAACCCGTGCTTATCTTCTTTTCAGTATATCGAACACAGGTCTTTAAATTGTGCGTAGGTCATGTCCGTGTTTACATGATCATCGTATACGTACTTGAGATTCATTTCGTCGTGCTTAAAGAGTGCCAACAGATTGGCGTTACCGTATACAAGGGGTTTAGGAATCCGAGCGTACGTCTGACAAAGATAGAAGCAGTCGACATCCTTGTTCCGACCCATGCTAAGAAGGGCCTAATGTTATCTTGCTTCTCGCAAGCAATATCATCGTAAATAATTATCGAATTTCGACGAGCCTGGCTCGGTGAGAGCACTTGTTCGTGTTCTGTAAAAGGAGAGTATCCGACACCATCTAACGAAATTGAGTAAACCTTCGAGAAATTTGTATTGTGGTTGATTCAACGATTTTGAATACACCTAAACGTTCTCGAATTTCAATCCATGAGTTATGAGAGTGAGTAACGCATTCGTTTTGCCGCTATTGGATGGTCCGTAAAACACCACGCATATGCTGTTCGGTAATAATTCACCGTATCTCTTCCTCCCTTTCTCCACTCGCGTCAATTCATCGAAATTCCTTACAGGTAACTTTGAAAACAATGTCTCGAACCTCATCTTGCCTGTGACTAATAAAAAAACTATAAATACCGGATTTATAAAGATCGTCATTCAGTTGAAACCGTTTCACGACAGAGTGCGGTTATGATCGTGCATGGTAAATCCAAACGCATTTGTAAGAAGAAGCGTGGCGACGGTGGACGCTTAGTTAACAAGATCATCAACAGTCTCCCTGTTGAATCAAGAGACGCGGTAGCGGCTCAGACAAGTTCATGGCCGCTACCACTCTATATACTCGAAACATCTTGCCAGCGGGCATTTAATTTTCTTCACTCGGTCAGTGCTGACATAATAAAGATCGAAAAACATTTAACCTACACGAAACGATTCGTTCATTTTTTTCCTATTTTTTGAGACCTTAATCATTTACAATCGGTGAAGGTGTTCTGGAGTTGTAGCGGTTTGAAATTTCGACAACGTTAGTTTGATCACATTCGTCGTAGTCTCCCTCACCTACGAACCTACATGCGAGCAAAATCCACACTCGTGAGTACACACATTCAAAGTCGGGTTGTCCTTCAAGGCTCGTTCTCATCGCGCGACTATTTCCCAACCTAAGGGAAATATGGAACTGCCATCTAGTGGCTACACATAGTAAGTACTTTCAAAATCGTGTGCGTAATTCAAACTGTCAATTTGCTATTTAGGTTAAAACATTCTGTGTACTGCTTAATGAAGCATGTTATTATCCCACGATAAATTCTAGCCTATGAGAAATAATTCTACGATAAGTAGTGGAATGAAAGGAATAATTTTTACTCTATAATAAGTATTTCCCTGCGAGAAACAAATGTCATTATGAAAAGTTTCTCTAATTATCGTAAGGTTAGAAAACTATGTCATTATTAAGTTCATTATTAACTTTACTAACCAACTTTCTTACACTACGATACTCTAAGAAACATATTGTAATGTCATTTACTTCTTGCATTGTAATAATTATTATATAGTAAACATTATTTCCATCGTTCCACTACATATCATAGAATTATTTCTCGTGGTCCAGTACTTATCTTGGGATAATAACATTCCTCATGTATAATAATGTTTACTATATTGTAGTGTAATTATTACAATGCGAGAAGTAAATGACACTACGATGGGTTTCTTTCATTTTCGTAATGTAAGAAAGTTAGTTAATAAAGTTAATAATGAATTTCTTAATGACATAGTTTTCTTATCTTACAATAATGTGAGAAACTTTTCATAGTGACATCAACTTCTTGTAGTGTAATACTTTTTGTGATGTCATCTGCTTCTCATATTCTTATACTTATGGTACAGTAAAAATTATTTCCTTCGTTCCACTACTAAACATTGAGTTACCTCTTGTAGACTGGTGCTTATCAAAGAATAATAATATTCCTCATAGTACAGTAATTTATTCCGGAGAAGATATTAAAATTTCTCATAGTTCCATACTTATTGCAGAATAGAATTGATTTCCTTATGTAAATTGCTATAACAGCTAGTAGCCTACGTTCTGCTATATGCTACTTAATTGATAATTAAACATATAATGCAAATGATTTCTATTCTGTGATAAGTATTAATATATGAGTTTTTTACTGTACAATAATTATCACACTGCGAGAAGTAAATGGCGTTACATAAAGTTTCTGACATTATCGTGACGTTAATAATAAAACTGTATCTTTATTAAATTTGTTTACCTTATTTACCTATTTTCTTACATTACGATAATGTCAGAAACTTTTCGTAGTCCCATTTACTTCTTGCAGTGTAATAATTATTGTACAGTAAAAATTATGTCTTATCTAATAATCCACAACATATCGAACAGTTATTTCTCATACCTTAGTACTTATCACAGCATGAAAATCATTTGCTTTATATGAATGGTCAAATAAGTAACAAATAGCAGAACGTAGGATACTAGCTGTTAGAACAATTTAGATAAAGAAATCATTTATATTCTACGATAAGTACGAAACTGTAAGAAATTTTAATATTTTCTCCGGAATAAATTACTATATTATGAGGAATATTATTATTTTATTATAAGTACCAGTATGCAAGAAATAATTCAACGATAAGTAGTGGAACAAAAAAAATAATTTTTACTGTACCGTAAGTATTAAAATACGATTGGCAAATGACAGTACAAAAAGTTTCTTACATTATCATAATGAAAGAAAACTGTATCTATATTAAGTTCATTATTAACTTTATTAACCAACTTTCTTGCATTACGATAATGTGTGAAACTTTTCGAAATATCATTTGGTTCTCGTAGTCCAATACTTATGGTACAATAAAAATTACTTCTTTCGATCCACTACTTGTCGTTGAACTATTTTTTGTAGTGTAGTACTTATCATAATTTCTGTTATGCTATTTAATAAAAAGAAACGTGTATGTATGTTGCGACGTGGCGATTATTCCCGGGGTCTATCTACCCCTTGCCAAGGCCCGCTGCGCCTCGGCCTCTTGCGCACATCACCTTCGGCCGGTCGCTGCGAGCGGGGCCTGCCGAGAGACTAGCGTTCCCCCCCGCTAATGCGTAACCTCCCGAAGCCCACCGGGACCCTTCGAGAGGCTACCGGAAACGCGGACTCGCGAGTCCCAGAAGTCCACCAGGGCACTCTCCGAGCTGGCTCCACCTATCAAACCAAAAAGTTGGGCGCCAGGCCTCCCTCGGAGGCCGATTCTCAAAAATGCTCCACAAAATCTCCCAAATTCCCCAATACCACTGTTCGGATTTGGAGCACGAACGGAAAAATGAAGAGAGCAATTGCCGGGTGCGAAAGTTAACCGTGGTATACAGTTTTTTATTACAATAAGTAATCCTTGATAGCGAACTTAATGTTAAGATCGGTTGAAACGAACGCACGCGAATGATTTGAGTACGACGGACTAGACGCGAGCGCACGTGAAGTGAAGTAGCGGATTTGAAAGATAAACCCGAGTGACTTCGGTGTCCAAGAAGGAAGGTAGTGTCCGTCG